TTTGTAGTTAATTTACCGATATATTCATGGATGAAAAAACATTACAGTTCCGTTTTTTGTTTTTATTAAGAATTTCGACCACGTGTGCCACATACCGTTTTGCTCAAAAATAACATGGGAAATAAATCAATCCAAGATCAAACCCTTTTCAGTTTTCCAGCAAATCATTAGGATTTAATGTCAATATTTTCTAATTTTGCCGTTGAAACCGAAAGTAAATAAGTTGTCTCAGAATAATCGCAATATTTCATAAATATTTGGGAAATTTTCAGTTTAAAAAAAAGTTATGAAGGTTCAAGTTTTGCTGCCAGGTGCGTTTCAAATTCACTTTTGTTGCTTTTTTAAAGCGCCAAGCGATTTTCACACGAATGGGACATAATTGATTGAAGAAGAAGTTAAAACAGTCATGGTGTTGTGCACATAATTTGTGCAAGTCTGTTGTAGTTAATATTGCGATATTTTTGGAAAGAAATGATAGAAGGACATTTTATGTTGACGGTATACTTCAACTAAAGAAGAGCATTTGAAACTGTCGATTTAATTTTTTTTGCAACCATTCCATCATTTTGGCAATTAATAAAAATTATGACTCTAAACACTGCTTGGAAAATGATATGCAGTGATGAACACAAAACATATGCAATGAAGCTTGTTAATTATGCTTTATCACGCATCTTCGCTTATTTATTACGCTAAATATTTATACGTCTTTGCGAATAATCTTAGACGTTTGACTCAAATTAGTATATTAAATATACTGCAATCCAAGGCACAATAAAAAATAACAATTGCGTAAATATAACAGCGTCATTAAATGCATGGTATTAATCGTTTTAAGTAAATATGTTGCTTCAATGGTAATCAAGCTAAATCCACTATTGAATGTATGTAAATATTAACAATTTTAAAAACCCAAACGGAACATAACAAATTCTCATGTGTAAATTTTAAATGTTGGTTCAATTGGATCTGATGCATACAAAATAATTAGTCTCCATTACATTACTCAACTCCATTTAGTAAAAAAACATTTGCTTTAGAATTAGTACATTGGAGAAAAATAATTAAATATGCCGAGAAAAATGAACTCTGGAGTGGGTTTTTTTTTTTTTTTT